AGGGAGCAGGTGGCGGGGTGAGGGCTGGTGGCGGGTGGGCAACGGCCACGCTCTGAGGGGGACTCCACGCACGGCCTTCGGGCTGGGCCCAGCCGCCCCCTCCCCCCAGTGGGAAGTTGGAGCGTGCCCGTTATGTGGTACAAGGAGGGGTGGGGGATTTTTAATGTCTCCGGGGTAGAGGGTCTGCCGGCAGACGGCTACCGGGTGGAACGGGTTGTGCGAAGAGAGGCCCTTGAACACCCAGCCTCTTGGTAAGGCTTGGCATTGCTCTAAAATGCTGTAAAGCCGTTATAAACCTTTGCATTCCTTCCACATTTATTGGCAATAAAACCCGGAAAATGGCAAACGACCGACTGAGTTTGAGAAGTCATATATAAAATAAGAAAGCTGACAGAAAACTATGCCTGCTGTGTGACGTGTATCATCACTACAGTGAAGCTCTTCCGTCTCCTCCCTAGTTTCATCCCATCCATCCACGGTTTTCAGAGAAGGACATTAAAGGCACGTTTTTAGTTAATATCAAGGTTCTGAAACTTTTAATTGCATAAATTTGGCCTCTAAATCTATATTTTTGCCCCAAGCAATTTTACTTCCTGAAATTTTACTACCTACAACTTAAGCAGAGGTTAGTAAATCACAAGCATTTAGCTGCTTATATGGTGACCGAACTTAGTGTATGTACTTACCTGGCTGTAGCATGCAAGTGTGGAACACTGGGTACAAATGGGGATTTTACAACTAACTTTGAAAATTAGGAATTGCCCGACATCAGAGTATCTGGAAAAGAAGCTTGAAGATAACTGTAACATGATAACATATAAAATTTTCTAACGAAGCGTTTGGCACAGTGATCTTTGTTACTACTGATATCAAAATCTTTATTTGGCACAAACACTGCGAATTTGAGTGTAATTCTTTCTACTTAATTTCAAAATGGATTGAAAATAGTATGCAGCATACAGGTGATGACAGTAACTTCAAGGTCAGATTCTTCATGATTCACATGTACATTGAGTATATACCTTTTTTTTTAATTTATTGCAATGTTACTTTCTCTCAACTGAAAATCAACTCACTTAAAAGTAAAAAGTATGAAATTCCTGTTTTCCTTGTAGATGGCTGAATCAGAACCTCAGGAAGGAAACTATGATAACATGGTAAAAATGGTGGAGGACCTGAACAGGGACTTAGAAAAACTTCTGGAAGAAATGGAAAAACTAACAGGTACAGGTCTTTATTAAGAATGATACGGATTTGTCTACTAGAGTGAAGACATTGAAGATTAATTATTTGTATTTATTGCTGTAAACTTCTGTGTGATAGAAATGTAAGTGGAAACAATTACCATCAACTAATGCCCTAATTAATTGGGAGAAAACATGCAAATAATCTTGAAGTTTCAGATGGCTCAGAATTGAAAATAGGTGGTGGATGCTCAGTTCAGAGTGCTGTTTGAAAACAGAAATAATACTAAGGTATTTAATTTACAATTACTAAAACATAGTATATAAAATGAGATTTAATTCTGAAAAACAGTGGGATGCATAGTAGCACTCGGGTCAGTGCATGATGCATTTAGTTCCTCAGCTAGAATTTGCTCCTCTGCAAATTTCATCTTAGTCCTGTATGTATGGAGAGGATTGCATATTCCTCTCCTTGTTCTGCAAGAATTCTGTTAGAAACTGTGTGCACCTAACAAGAATAGATGGAAACTGTTATTTAAACTATTTGCAATTAAACACAATTTATGAGTGCCATTGCAAAAACTACAGTCAATATATGGTAAAATACAAGGGAAAGTATGAAATAAGTGCTAAAAGTATTTGCTGTGCTTTATCAGATCCTCATTATTTCAAAATCAATTTCACTATTTAGGTTGTTCTTAAAACCTTTCATTTCTATGCTGCAGCCTCCTTGATCTTACTCTTCCTCACAAGCCTCTTGACTGCAACTGGTCTAGAGAGAGGATTCTTTGGTTCATTTATTTTAAAACAGCCTGTTGAACCTTTCTTTTTGATTACCTATTTTGTTGCAATTTTTAGGTAAAAGTGTCTATCTCACTTTTGTAATTGATATCATTCTGAAGTATTTTGAGACATAAAGAAGTATTAATTCTATTTAATCTTCAGTATTACTGTAAGCAGTTTCCACTTACAGCAGGCCTTATCTGACATAAGATCTGGACTGATAATTCATGTCCTTTATTTGTTTTTTTTGAATCAGCCATTGCTTTTATTTAGCAAAAATTCCTGGCTTAGTAGTATCTGTTGGGTCTGTAGTGCAGGCAACCTGGATGGCTTATGACATGGTAGTCATACGTACCAACCCAGACCTGTCCAACTCCATGAGGCGTTTGGAAGATGCCTTCCTGAGTTGCAAAGAAGAAATTGAGAAGAAATGGCAAGACGTACAGATTGAATCTAAAGGTGAAGAGGAAAAAAAGGAGTAAATTGAATTCAGCCATGCTGGCAGGACAACATCCCTTGGAAAATGACTGTAGTCTTTTTTTATTCCAGCCATGGAGGCTTCACAGACACTGTGGAAAATGGATTTGCTTTCATCTTACTAAGAACTACTTATGTGTATACATCTATGGAAGTATTTTAATGAGATTACACATATATATATTTATATTATTGAAGGTAAAAGGTAACAATGTGTCTATTTTCATTATGCTCATCAGTAATCCTTGTAGCAATTGTGCATACACAACTTACATTCTTTCTGTGTCTTTCTTCCTGGAAGATGATACTCACTTCATCATCAATATACGTGGAATTCTTTGACACCTGAATAAATTGGGGGGGGTGGGAGAGCAGGGGGGTACAATGGACCATCACAGTGGTATTGCACCGGCACATGCCTTTCAGAGAAAACTGAACAATTACTTTTTTTTCTAAATGAGAAACACATGAAATTCTAGATTTGCAGATGGAGTGGGTTAGTTTGATGTGGGATGACCAGCTAGGTGTTCAGTTACAGAATTTTATTATTCAGATAGCTCATCCGTAGTTGTTTCATTTTGTTCCTTAGATTTTTAACTATTTCTTTGGACTGGTTTTCCCAGAAAGATTGTTCTTCTCAAACCCTCTGAAGGTAGCATGTCTCATAAGAAAAAATTGTTTACCGTTATAGACCGCACTGTCTGTGGTGTAGTCTGTGGGGTTGCTGCAGAAACCAAACTAACCATGTTGTAAAACATGCTTTTCCCCATATATTCCTACAGTGCAATATTAAAAAAGAAAGAAAATTAAAAAAAAATTACTTTTCTTTTGTCATCAAGATGTGGATTAAGAGCACCATCTTGTGGCGTGCAGTTGAATATTTTATATGAGATGGAAGTCAATGCAAGTTTTGAGAAGAACCTTCCGTTTTATTAAAATCGGTCTCTTAACTAGAAAGCAAGCACCATGTAGCAAGTGAGAGCATCTCCTTTGAAGAGGGATTTGATGATTTAAATAACATCTAAATGATCTGTCAAAAGTTTACTGAGCTTTAGTCTAAGTATTCTCTTGAGACCGGTTGATCTCAACTCACACAATGTTTATCCTACTAAAGTGAAAAATAAGTAATTCCAGGGTTAGGGTTTTTTTTTTTATTTATTTTTGCATTGCTACCAAGTGTTTCTAGAGGCAGAAATGGTTAAGAATATAAACTTTGAATTCTCTTGATTTTCCAGCAGGTAGGTCTTCATTCCAGCCAAGGTAGGGCAAAATGGCAGAGCAGCATGAGGGAACTTGCTCTTTGATTAAGTGCAAGTTAATCTTCTCTGGAAGATTTTTAATGGCATGTTGTCACATTGGTACCTATGACTACACTGTTTTCATTCCTGTCCTGGTTTAAGTCTGTGTTAAAAACTAAATTCTTTGAAGAGGCACTATCTTTAACAGCTTGTAGAGGAATATACTGAATTTTGTGTGACTATCTGGCCATAAAGTGCTAAGTATAGATTGACTATAGATTTTCCAGAAAGCTCAGTTTTCATACCAAGTGGCCAGTGTTTAAATTTTATTTTTTTTTTTTAATCTAGGACACCCACTGAGAATAGAGAATACTGCTCAAAACCAACACTTTTAAAAAATGTCTTTTAATTAATTGAATGCGACATATATCTTTTACATGAAGTTGAATCCTATTTTCCTGTGACTCAGTGAGTCTGTCACAACACCGTGTTTCTCCAAAGTGAAGGGCCACAATCAGAGAGGGTAGCTGTTGCCAGATGCTTCCTCTCCTTACATTTTTTTCAGTCCCCAAGTCTCATCACTTTACAACTTTTCCTTTCCAAATTTTGGAAAAACACTTTTTTTTTTCCTGTGTACCTGCTGAGGCAGAAGGCATTACAGCACCAGAAAGCATTAAGAGCACCTTAATTTTCTCCTCACCAGAAAGCAGACAAATGATAGGCTATTAACCATTGGGCACTAATTTATCCTCAAGGACAGGTGCTTACACCGAGGCACAAGGTGACCTCGCTGTGAAGGAACAGAATGAGTTCTCTGGAGGAGGATTGAGAATACCTGTGAACATTTGCCACCTCTGCTACCCCTTTTCTTACTCCTGAAAGCTCTCACATGACCACAAACACATAACAGCGATGCGAGGTAGGGACAGAAGTTGGGAAGAGACAACCAACAGATGTGGCTGGGAGCACAGCACATACTCTGCCTGGGGAATCCCGCTGGCTGATAGACTAGGTCTGCCTCTTTTTCTCCATGATTTTCCTCCCAGTTGAGCGATGATAACTGGAGGGGAGTTAGGGATATGGATCAGCATAGGAACAATGCATATTCCTTGAAAAACAATACAGCAAGATGACTATACTTTTCCTTTACTAATAAAACGTGTTTTTTAGGTTGGCTTTTTTTTTTTTTTTTTTTTACATTGAGAAACACCTTGTAGGGATTGTGATTTTTGTTTCATGTATCTCACCATCTACCACATTTCAGCCCAGCTAGCTGCTTTAGACTTGCAGCAGCAACAAGATAGCCCACACTGAAACTCCTTGATTTCCTGTCACAGGGGCGTGTCAAATTTTCAGTCAAAAGGATGCGGAGCAACAGCCCCATCTAGTGCTCACATAACTTAAAACAGTAACAGTAATCCGGATTGCTGTGTTGACATCTCCTAGTCACCCATCACCAAAGATTTCTGTAATGATAAGTGTTAGCAGCAGTTTAGCTTTATGTTCATTCTCAGCAAACTCCACTTCTGTGAGCTGAGACTGTACAGCAGGTGCTTCCTGTACTGTATTTAAGAAAAAGTATGCTTCTGCAAAAAACAGTTACAGAAGCAAGAGAAGTTGGCACTGGTACACTGCCCATCTGTATGCCTAAACATAGCAGTAAAGAATTATGTTTTCTTAATGATTCATTCCTTAGCCTCTATTGAGTAACACTAAATAAGCAAATCACAAATCAGTTGAAACGTTTGTGGTTTTTTTTTTATTGTTTTATGCAGACACCTGGATATGTACTGGAATCTGTATTTACCCTGGTTCATTTTGCATGATTAGATAAGGCAAGTCTTACTTCCACAGCTGGGTATCAGGTTTAATCAAGAAGTCTATGAAGCACAGCAAGGAGGTTATGGACTCAATCCCTACCTATTAAGGGTAGGAGATGCTCTGGTGTTTAAACACCACAACACTTTTACTGTTCCTGTCACAACAAAATTTGCTGGTCTTAGTTATGTACTTACCCTGTCTGCAAGGTAAGAGTTGGATGCCCAAGAGCAAGCCATCCAAACGCCAAACTGAGCCATACATTGTCTAGCCTAAAGAGCCTGCAATGACATAGCTCAAAGCACATTCCCCTTCTGCATGTAAACATGTATTTTTCCTATAAAACAGATATGCAAGGTGTCCTGCGGCCTCTTTTTGTCTAGCAACTCAGGTGCTACTGCACTTATCGGAGCTGTTTGGATTCTTACACTGTTTAGAGTTTCCATTACCAGTTTCTTAACAGGAAACGGATGAGTTAACTAAAAGGCCAATATGTAGCCTCCCAGGAGATTTTGATGGTTGAAACTCTGCCCTTCTCTCCAGTGTAAAACAACTGAGAAGGGGCTGTGGACATTTCACATGTCCACTCAGGCATATCAGTCCCTGTCAGAAGGTGGCCTAAAGCTTTGTTTAGAATATTTTATTTCTTTTAGTATTAGTGGTTTCCCATTCTTGACTATATAGCCCCCATTCAGGTTACCTCAGAAAGGCTCAAAAAGAGAATCCATATTCACTAGCTGTTTTTACTTGTTGGCATAAGTGGTTTCGAAATTTCAGTCCACATCCTTGCAGCAATTGTTTCTAAAGTGTGTATGGAGAGATTATTGAATCTGTAACAGCCCTATTTACACACACTAGTATTAAAAATAATGTTCTTTTTGCTAGCATTCTTAGCAGAGAAGCCAAGAGCTTACTGAAAACAAAGGGGGTGAAAAACTTCCCTTTTGAGTCATTTCCTCCAGGGCAAGGACTGTATCACCTAGGCGCTATCAACATGAAAGCAGCAGCGCCTTTTCTGTGTACATTCTATCAATACTAATTTCTTTTTTGTGGCACTGCCTCCTCCTTGCTTCTGCACCACCATGAAACACACATTTCTCAAAGAAAACATATTAGGGTATTTTCCTCATTTTTCTGTTTGTGATAATCTATTGTCTGCCTTACTTGCCTGGTTTTCTCTAGGTGCTCTGGGTTTGGATCACTGGAATACAAAGATAGGTGGTAAGATTACAAGGTTTTGAGGTGACGTTATTTTAAAGAAAGGGTGGCATGATTTAGAGGCTGTTAAAAACTGTTAACAGTTGTCATGGACCAAAATGTGAGATTGCATAATGTAAGTGAAAGTAATTGACCATACCAACACAGTGAACAGTAACCACAGAACATAGATCTTCTAAGGCTCTGGAAAGAAAACAAGACTATTACAGGTTCACTGTACAAAGCATACTTTGCCTCTTACCACCTAACTGATGTTACTTAATACATTAAAACAGCAGAACTTTGACTTAAACTTGAGGTGCAGCTACAGTTGAGTTCTAGGCTGACACTAAAAACAAGCTGCTTAACTGAACTAATACTGTGAATCTTCACACATTTAACCCACATCCCGAATTTTGTGAGAGCAGATCTCTTTCTGTACTACAGACACACACTTTACGGTCAATCAGCCTTAGAAATGCACTGCAAAAGCTGTTCCTGACTCATTCTAAGGACCTGCCTGGTCCTACAAAAGTTACAATTTACAAGTCAAAACTTCAGACTGATAGCCAAGCATTGAAGAATGATGCATTTTGACAACAGTCAGGAAATATGATGAAGCTCTGACCTCAGTGACAACTTCCTGTAGGTCTTTCCTATCACATTTTAAAACCTTAAGATATTCCTTAAGATATTAGTAACACCAGCTGATAAGATGAATGATTAATTCTAAGTTGTCAGGATCAATTTTCTGCACTGTGCATCATTGTCTAGTTTTAAGACTCAAAATCAAATCACAGCTACATTGCTCCACTATTGTCAACAGCAAAAAATGAAGAGTTCAAGCTGCCACTTGTTTGACACTGCCTCCACAACTTTCTCAATTCCTTTACTCTTGACCAGGGGTCCCACTGCTGCTTGGCTTGTGCAGCTTTTTTTCCCCCAAGTATGTCTGAACATCTCAGAGCAGATACTTCCTTTCATGTTACTGCAAGACTACTATGTTTAAGTGAAACATTGCACAGATGAAGGCTTACAGAAGTTTCTTCTTCCTTTCATCGCACTCCTCAAAAGACCACAAGCCACCGGGAATATTTTCACAGCTAAGTAACAGCAGACAGCAGCCTTCACAAGCAAAAAGCCTGGTTACAGGCTGGCAGGCAGAGTATTATGAAAACACTGTAAAATGATTACACTATAAAAATGTAATCCACTCCAAGTGTAAGCCATTATAAGTTCCCATGAAAGGGAAGAATGCTGGAATGAGAGAATGAACACAGCACAAAAACAATGGCTCCAAGTAGGTAGAAAAGCATGTTAAATACTCTGCAAATTCAAAATCCTTGTATCTAGAAGTCTTAAAACAAAACAAAAAAACAAAAAAAAAAAACCCAAACCACCACAACACAAACTAAGCACTCATCTGAAATTCCACCTTATTTACAGGCACACAAGCACCACAGTTGCCAGAGAGAGCTGACCCTCGTTATTGGCTGAAGAAATATAAAACCGGTTCTCAAAGTTCAGCTACAAGAGAAGTAGCAGTCTAGTCAGGGAACAATTTATGCCCTGCCTGAGAAATCCAAAAATGTAATTTTAGTAAGTGCTTTAGACTCGCTAGGGTTGAGCCTATATTTTCGTAAGGAGGCATTCGGGGTAAAGGGTGTTATGTCAGTCACAGGCTTCTGTTTATGCAAAGGTTCTTCTTAGCACAAAGGTAGGACTGAAATAACAGAAAAAACTAGACACTAGGACACTATTTGCATCTCTCCCTCAATTTCTCCTTTCATAAAATAAAGATAACTAGTTAGGTGCTTTTGTTAAAGTGATTCAAATCTGACCTACATTTTTGAGGAGGTTAAAAGAATTGTATTTAGCCTGTCAAATCTCACCTTAAGAAAACACTTGCTTTTGAACAACTGAAGGCAGTTCAAGTAGTTTTTATGCCAAGTTCTGCAGTACTGTTTCAATGTTTATGAATATCTCACATCTGTTTATACTTCAGTGAAACTGCCAACCTTGCCCCAATCTGCCCAAAATAGCTTTAGTTCTGAACAAAACTGAAGTTTACTAAGGATTATCCTGCTTAAGAATTTGTAAAAGGTGCATTACTCGTTCTTCTCACCTTATTAACTTTTGTTCTGTGTCAAAGCAGACATATTCTTAATTTTCCAAGGAAAGACATCAGAATACCAGCTTGCCCATCTCAATATCTTTCCCAGTCTAAAGCTTACCAGATTCAGTGCAAAAAACAAAATCCCACAGCAATCCTTGTATCAATGTGCTTTCAGAACTGCTGGGTAAGTGATCCAGTGCTGCAGTGGCAGGTTACACTACGTGAGTTTGCGGGGAATGCAGCAGTGTACGTACTCAAGGGAGTCAGAAGCATTCTCCTTCCTGAACCAAGCCTGTACCTTTCACTTCACATCTCATTAAGCATTCCCAATCCATTGCAAAAGCAAGCAGGAAATTCCCAATGCAGTCAGCTGTGTGCAGTGCCATTCATGCATCACTAAGCCTTTCCCTAACACCCCCCCCCCCAAGGCAAAGGCAACAGAGTACAAGGGCCATTCCTCACCTTCCCAGAAGCTGGAAGCAGTGCTTTGAAGCGCAGTTATCCCCTACGCTCCCCCTACTTCTCATTTCCTGAGGAGTAACATGAGAAAGCATGTCTCCAGAGAACCTCATATAATTTTTTTAATTATTAATAGTGTGCAAAGAACAGGGAAACTAGAGGTGACAAGGACAACAAGTACCTGCCAAGAATCTCTCTTGTCTCATTTAGTCTCACATGTGTACAGTTATGGTGTTGCTCCACACCAACGGGGTTTACATGAAGTGTTACTCAGTAAAGGCTGGGTAAAGGGTGCATACCTAAGAACAGAAAAAGGCATTTTAAGGAAACAAATCTACTACCTAAGGTTTGGATAACGGCAACTGCTAGACAGCAATGTGAGAAAAGTGTTGGACTAGAGAGCAAAGGATACAAGATAACTGAAGAAACGCACCCATGTTCAACAGCTGGAAGTAGACTGATAACACTTGCAAGACATCCAAGTTTTAGGGAGGAACGTTAGAAATACACACACTAGTAAGACAGTTAAGTACTTTGCTCATTAAGACAAAATGGCACAGGTACAAAGATTTTACTGGTTTCAAGTAAGGAATAGTGGAGAGGCAAATAAAATATACTGCCGTTATTTGGAACAGAAGCTTGAATGAAGTGGCAGTTACTAAGCCCATTTTGTCTTTTTGAACAGGGAAGTCTCAAAGCTTGGATTCTACTGTTTACAGAACACCAAAACCTAGTAAATAGATGGGAAAATAATAAGCCAGTAACCCACTCCAAATCCCCCAAACTCATGCCACAAGACGGTAATAGAAAAACCCAACCATTAACACCATTCGAGCCAGAAAAGCAGAGAGGACAATGTAGGTTATAGCTCTGTTGTAAAATTTCTTTGCAGACGTTGTTTTGAATTGAAGTAGATCCACCTAACTTGGCCATATGCATCCACCTAACCTTGCACATGTATCATCCAGCATGGTTTTAAACAAGCTACATATATTAAAGAATCACAGAATGGTTAGGGTTGGAAGGGACCTCTGGAGATCATCTAGTCCACCCCCCCTGCCAGAGCAGGGTCACCTACAGCACGTTGCACAGGACAGCATCCAGGCGGGTTTTGAATGTCTCCAGAGTGGGAGACTCCACCACCTCTCTGGGCAGCCTGTGCCAGTGCTCCACTACCCTCAAAGTAAAGAAGTTCCTTCTCATGTTAAGATGGAACTTCCTATGTTCAAGTTTATGCCCATTACCCCTCGTCCTATCACTGGGCGCCACTGGGAAAAAAGACTGCTCCCATCCCCCTGGCATCCTCCCTTTAAGTATTTGTATGTATTAATAAGATCCCCCCTCAATCTTCTTTTCTCTAGACTAAAGAGACCCAAGTCCCTCAGCCTTTCCTCATAAGAAAGGTGCTCCAGTCCCCTAATCATCTTCGTTGCCCTTTGCTGGACCCTCTCCAGCAGTTCCCTGTCCTTCTTGAACTGGGGAGCCCAGAACTGGATGCAGTACTCCAGATGCGGCCTCACCAGGGCAGAGTAGAGGGGGAGGATGACCTCCCTCGACCTGCTGGCCACACTCTTCTTGATGCACCCCAGGATGCCATTCGCCTTCTTGGCCGCCAGGGCACATTGCTGGCTCATGGTCATCCTGTTGTCCACCAGGACTCCCAGGTCCCTCTCCACAAAGCTGCTCTCCAGGAGGTAAGAGACAGCACTCATTTTCACATATAAATGCTGAAGCAGCAAGATTAAAATAATGAATTATTTTAAGAATAAACATGACAAATGCGTTAAAACATTTTTTTTTTTGGTAGTTGAAATTACTTTTATTTGTGAGGAACGTCACCCATGCTGCAGAGTTTCAAATAGATCTTACCAAGGAAAGCGGAAGTTTCTCCTCCCCGTGTCCTGCAGTGAACAGGACTGGCACAGAAAAAAAATAAAACTCATCACACCTGGGAGGTTTAGCACCAGCATCCAATAAAAAAAGCATTTGATTTCAATTTCAGTTCTTTGGTTGGGTTTTTTCCCTTTTCAGTTTGATACCAAAAGAAAAATTGAAAAATTCAATACTAGCAAAACAGTGAAATTCAAAAAAAAAAACCAAAACCAAAAAACCCACAGTTGCTGTTGAAACTGGGGAGGTTGCTCTTTCTGAATCTCGCTCTCTTTTTAATGTCTTCATGCATCTGTCTTGCAGGCGTTCCCTGGATCTCAGCTGCTGGTAATATTTTTTTTCTTTTAAGTTCCGATGTTCAAATCTTTGCTTTCGTCATCACTGTTGACAATTTATTGCTTGAGTGTTTCTTTGGTGTTACTTTTGAGTTGTATTTTAGGACACCTGTTAAAAAGCCAAATTTAAGAAAACGCAGTTTACTGAAGTTTCATTTTCCTGTTGAAGAGGTGGGATGTCAGGTGGAGAGGGAGTTATCATAACAGGCAGGATAAGCAGGACTGGCTTCTCCTATCTGTAAGCTGACAGTATAGTATCTTCCTAAAGCAAGATGTTACTAACTCATCAGCAGATGCTATTACTACATAGACCAGATAGATCTTCCTCAAAAATGAAATTGATAAAGCAAGATTTATTTTGTGACAAATACAGACAAAGAGGAGAGAAAGAACTTCTAAGGGTTTGCTGCTTTCTTTTATCACAAATATCTAGCCATACATAAGGGGATGTGGCCAGAGTCCAAGTCCTAGAAGTATACACAATGCTACCTCAGTTGGAGAACAAGAACTATATTCCTTACCTGAGGGATAGTAAAGGTGCCTGGGGAGCCGGACATTACTCAGCACCACTCTGCTCGGTCACTGGAGCAGGATTTTCAGCAGGTGTTTCCGTCACCTTTGTCTGAGACACAATAAACCTTTATTATAGGCAAAGACTGACCTCCAGACCCTTCCTTTGTTCAGTGGTAGGCCCAGCATAACACAGGTTTTAGAATAATCAAGGAAGATGAATCCTCAGAAAATACAAATTTTAGTGTAATTCCTGTAGTATTACACAGCAGATTCTGTCAGCAGACCACCTCAAGTAGATACAGAATGAGAAAGTCTTTCCTCATTAAGGTAAAAATCAGTGTTTGCCAACAGTTCCCTGAAATCATCCAGCTCAAGCAGTTCAGGAAATGGACCTGGAGCTTTCAAATCCATCTCTTATACTACATACAGACTTGAAGGTTTGAGGAAGCTGGAAAACACAGCTGTTTCTCTCCCTTTCAAAAGTATTTATTACAGCCTGACCCCAGTTAAGAACTATTCAGAAGCAATCCCTATCCCACTACTAGTTCCATTTAAGATAAGCTGCTCATTCTCAAAGTTCACAAGGAACAGGGAATGAAACCAGCTACCTTCAACCATCAACACTTTGGACTCGGCCATTAAACTTCTCCAGCGCACCAACAATACACTTGTTAAAACCCCCACAGGACAAAAGGTCTTGAGCATTTACCCCATCAAAACTTGGGCTTTGCCATTATTTTGCCAGGAACGTGCTTACCTCTTTCCCATCCTGAGCCGGAGCATTGGGTGGACGAGGTCGACGCCGGTAGTTGTACGGGCGCCTGTACCCACGACGAAGGGGCTGCTGACTCATAGCGTTGGCCTCATGATGGTTCTCTTTGTTTTCAGCCTCACCAGCCACAGGGGCAGGGCGTGGACGCGGAGGCCCTCTGAATAAGGGGAAGAGATACATGTTAAGTATGAAAGCACCCTAAGAAGGTTGAACTACCGTGATTTTAGCCCAGCAAAAACCTCTCTAACCAAGTGCCGTCTGCAACAGTTTTGAAGGCTAGCAAACCATCCCTTTGGAGTTTGGCTGGCATATAGTTGAAAGGGAAAAAAACTGTTCCATTGGGTGTCTCTTCACTGCTGAAGCTACATCAGCGTATTCTACTGTCTGTCCTACAATAAAGAGGTAGTTAGCCCATTTGAATTGCTGGCTAGGAGAAGAAACAAGCCAGTAGCAACCACACTGGCTGACTCTGCCAAGTTCACCTTGGACTAGTTATATACCAGGCCAGCCCTCTTCATAGTTAATGGTGCGATCCCTGAGAACTGCAATTCCACCTGTACACCATTCCTAGATCTCCCCTCTTTGCCTTATGTTGCCCCTCTTGACCATGTAAGAAAGTGAAGCACCTATCTCAGTCAGGCAAGTTGGACCTCATTAACACTAACATGTTAGTGACATCTCTGGGATTGGTTATTCAAAAAACAGAGAGGCTTTTTTTGTTTGGAACTACAATGTATGGGCACATCTCAAATGAATGGATACATGCTACAGTCTATAACGGCAGTCTACAACTTCCCCAAGGGGGGCTGTGGAGGGGGAGGTGCTATTCTCCTCTCTCTGGTGATCAGCAATAGGGCATGCAGAAATGGAACAAAGCGACATCAGGCAAAGTTCAGCATGTACATTACGAAACGGTTCTTCACTGAAAGGGTGGTCAGTCGCTGTACCAGGCTCCCTAGTCACGACAGCAAGCCCAGAGTTCAAGGAGCATCTGGACAACACTTTTAGTCATATGCTTTAGCTTTAGGTAGTCCTGCAAGGAGCAGGGAGTTGGACTCTATGATCCTTATAGGTCTCTTCCAACTCAAGATATTCTATAAGCTATCAAGTCCGTGTTCCTGAAGTATGCAAGAGCATTTCATTCCACTTCCAGTACAAAGGAAGTATATTTATAAACTGTCAAAACACAGCCAAAAGCAATGAGAAAGTCACTGCCTACTATCTAGTTCCCATTAACTGGCTTAGCTAATCCACAGCTATCCAGTCCCAAAAGCCATTAGCTTTTCCAAAGGAATCTAACATAAAAGCATCAGTGTCACTGGATTTAGTGCAAGTAAGTGCAAGCAATACCTACCTGGTAACTCAAGCAGAAACATTCTGCATTTGTATTGGATACAGTAAGCTATTACCTCTTACAGGGGGAAAAAAAAAAAATGCATCCAAAATGCATAAGTTCCCATTAGCCATGGGCAAGTTATCCATGTCATGATTCAGCCACAACATGCAAAAGCTCAGGTGCCTCATTGTACTTGGTGTGATGATACTCCTGACTGCCCAATGCTAATGAAGACTTTCAGGAAAAGTTATTCTGTTCAGACCCCTACAAGCAGTGGCATCAGTATTACCCCAGTTCCCACAACCCTAGATAAAAGGGCCAACATTAGCACAAACATTTACAGATAGAAAAACTCGAAGTAGAGGTGGAAGGCTTATGGTTCTACGCCCAGCATCCAGAAGGGTGGATCCATTTTGCATGGAACAGGTAGTCATTACAGGCAGTGTTGTTATTCCTACAAAATTCAGCTTCTTATTGCTCTTGCGTTGTTATTTACCTCCTGCTGATTGTTTTTGACCAAACATGCATATGAAAAAGTGAGGATTATATCTGTTTCATAGTTCATGTCTCTAAATTCCATGTTGGAACTTGACTTCATAAGCTAGTTGATAGAAAGACAAGAACAAGATGAAGAGGAAAAGACAAGTGAATGGCAGACTAAGACAAATTAGCTCCTTGAGAGCAGAATCCACAACGCTTTATGAAGAACACCAGCGAAAGTAATCCAGTATTTTATCTTACTTGTCACTCATTCTCCAAGATAAAACAAGTTGCAAGAAGCCAAGCATCTGAATGAGCTTTTCCACTTAAAGGAATTCAATAAAAAAAAAGTGAGGCAACATCTCAAAAGGTACGATAGTCAGAGGCTGATTATGTCACCCTGATATTTTTAACTGCACCAAATTCCACAGCGATGGAATTGTTCCCCTCAGTGTAGAGGCTGGAAGCTAGAGTGGTCATGTCAGAACTAAGGCTGGAAAATGAAGAAAACAATCCTACACTGGCCAGTTTAAGGGATGACTAACACAGATGACTCAGCAACTTACTCCACATATCCCACTGGAAGACATCAGTGTTCACATGAAATCCAAGGAATCTTTACTAAGAACGGCCTACTGGATCTTCAAGTATCCATTTATCCCAGTTCTATGGATCCCTAGGGAAAAAGGACTATGAAGCATATTTCCCAAATAGACTACCAGCCTCCAATTGTTTTGCAAGCTGGAGATTTCCCGAGCCAGACAGAGTTTGCATCTATTTAGAGATATCACAGTGGTATTCTCTTCTAGTTATTTGGCCAGTCTCCCCAAAGCTTGTGCAAGATTTTAACATCACCAACATCCTGTGGCAGAAAGCTCCAGCAATCTGCTATATGCTTAACCTGAGTCAGCAACCTGAACGAGTCAGCAGTGCACCACTGCAAAGGCAAATCAGATCCCAGGCTGCATCCACAGAGTCAGATGCGAACTTCCCACTCTACTCAGCACTTATCAGGCCACACCCAGAGTACTGTGTCCAGTTCTGGTCCCCACCATTTAAAAAGGAGACAGACTGGATACAGTCAAAGAACGGCCATGATGATGAAAGGGCTGGAGAAACTGACCTATGAAGAAAGACTAATGGTGTTGGGTCTTCTCTGCCTGGAGAAGAGAAGGCTTGGCAGAGGGGGCAACACAACACTTACCACAGTATTCCAGTACTTAAAGAGCAACTACAAAGACGACAGAGGCTCTCTCTTCAGAAGGAGCCACATTAAGAAGACAAGGAGCAACAGGTACAAACTGCACTGGGAAAGGTTTTGTCTTAATATAAGAAAGATTTACAGCAAGAACAATCATTTACTGGAAAAACCTCCCCAGGAATGTGGTAAAGTCCCTATCACTGAAGGTTTTCAAAATGCAATTGGACAGGGGGCTAAATCTCATCTAGACTCCATTTCCCACAAAAGGTTGGACCAGATTTTTTTTTAAGTCCCTCCCAACCTGGGCTGTTCTATGGTTCTACAAACCTCCCTTTGTTTTTCAGCATGTCTCCCACTTCCTTCATTTAAAGTCTCCTCATAGTGTATCCTTTATTAGAAGAAAAAGCAAAAACAATTTCATCCACCCTTTCCATGCTACTCATTATTCTGAGGACCTCTAATCTATCTTCATTTGTCTCCTCTCCCAGCCTCAGAGTCCTCAGTCACCTCCGCTGTTCAGACATTCTTTCCCCTTTGATCATTTTGATGAGTTTTATCTTACTATTCTGGAAGCTCTCCAGTCTCCTTAGCACCCCCTTTCTCCAAAAGTTCTAGCAAGAGTAACTAATGATCCTATTTTGTTACTTCTCCTTTAGGAGCCCTCAAGGAACCTAAAATTTATATTTTGACTGACAGCAATACCCTCCATTAGAACTAGATACTACAAGGTAACTCTGATACTGTGTAAGAGCTAGGACACAACTTCAGTTTTTACTGAACAGTAGGCTTTCCTCTGAACCTACAAGTAGCACCAGTGCTTAGAACCAAGCCTGAGTGACACATAGGACTGAACTGGAGCACAAGCTACTAGTCCAGTGCTAAGCTACAAGTTGTCTGCAGTCCACAAGAGTTATAAAGCACACCTTGCCCCTCCAGATGATGGGCCTAGCTGTCCCAGATCAAGTGGGATTTAGATTCATTACTTGTTGAGGACAGTGTAGGAGACCAGCTGGGAAAGTTTGGACCCTTCAACTCACTTAAGTATGTTGCTCAATTGTGAGAAATAACAGGATACAGAGAATTCTCCTCTCTGTCTTGACCTATTCCTAGCTCTGAGCAACATTAAAGCACATTAAACAACTTCTACAGTTGTTTCCTTACTCCTGCGGCTCACCTTTCTTCTAGTAATTAAAATGCTTCTCACTGTCCCTACCATTCACATATACATTAATGTCAAGGAATGCAGTTTCCTGCTCTTAATGAAGACTGTGTAGATCACAAAAGCATCCAAATGTAAAGATGTGCAAAGGAGACAGCACAAACCTGCGATAGCGGGGACGATAGGTAGGATTCCTATGGACTTGTTGAAGTTGTCCTCCTTCTGTGGCCCCATCCTTTATTTCTCCCTCACCACCCTACAGCCAAAAGAAAACAGAAGACAGAGTCAAAGATAAAGGGTTATCTTATTTCACAGGGAGTGTATTAACTATAAAGCCAAATGATCTGAACACAAGTTCAAAAGCAGTGTATCAGTACAGAAACACCAACATATTAGGTAAAAAGAACCAGCAGGTACTCAAAAGGCTTTAATTTGGGTGAAGGTAAGAGCAGGACAGAACAAGAACCAGTAATGCTGCCCATGTTCTTCACAGTAATAGACCAAGAAGCTATCTCACAATGCCTTCTCCCTGTCTGCCAAGAAAGGCAGAGAACCTGACAAGTTCTCTCTCTGATACACATGAAAGTGCATTTCAAGACATGACATTGCATTGCAAGGGGTAAACATGTTATGGAGAGGCAGCTATTGATCAGGATACTTCCGCATTAGGAAAGCTAACTGGAAAAAACATCATACTGAAACTTGCCAGAGACCACTTCTGGCTTCATTCTACACAAAACCCCATTCCACAGAGAACTCGCACAAAAACATCAAGAAATTTAAAGATAGAGTATTTGATATCATGTAGTACAGTTTTTCTACACACTCAACATTTTCAACCTTTCAGAGATGCGGTGGTCATCTTTCCCTTCAGTTGCCAACTGATATAACTGTATTTCAATGTGTGTGGTTTTTGGTTTGGGGTTTTTTTTCCTCTCTAGTTTGATGTTGTTTTTTTCCTTTCTAAATGCCAGCCATCAGTAATGTCTTTTTATAAAACTTTGTATTATTTACTGTTCCCATTGTACTTTTCCTCCCTTTAAAAGAAGGAATTTAAACAAGAGAAGTGTGTTGTCTGTATGTGATCCAGTGGGAAACAAAAGCTATTGCTTTGTGACAGCCTTCAGTAGTCTACACTAAGTTTGACAGGTCTCCTTCCAATTCTACAGACCTATTTTAACCACCACCATCATGTTTTGCTCTATTTTAACTAGCAATCTCAGGTAACTGTGTGGGCAGTGAACTTTTCTTTAGCTAAGATAACATGATGATAAACATTCAGAAAGGCTGAAGCACTGTAGGTTGTAATGAGAAATCTTGGGGAGTTACATGAACCTCAGTGACTGACGTGGACAATCTTCTCCTCTCACCACAGTAAAATACCCTCCAAATGCATTAATAATTTCAAGCACTCTTTGTAGCTTTCCAAGTTTCCAAAAAGCACAGAGACATGGCCTAAAGGCAACTGGAATATTTCACATGCCGTACCTAGAAATAGCTATACCAGCTATTCTTAACAATATGACAGGGTCAGCTGCTGAGACGAGTAGAGAGAAATCAGAATTCAATAAAAAAAACCCACAATCATAAATAACATCATCTGTTATGTTCCTTAACGTATAAAACTGATCAGGAGAACTAAATATCCACAGGAACTCCCACTGACTAAGTAGATAGTAATAATAGATAGCATCTGATAGCAGTTGAGAAATACTTGAGAGACTTGGAACCCAAAAGGAAAAATTACACTTCTGAGTTTAAGACAGCATTACACTACTTCTATCTACTGTACAATACTAATCTGTCCTTTTTCTATCAAGATGCTTTGTACCACATAACTTTACAGTTTATTACTGTGATGTGTGGTCAGAAGTGTCTCAGACAGTAAAGAGAGAAATAGCACTGCCAGGATTGTGTGTGACAATAGTGATCCAGAGGTCTTGATTTGCCTTTTGTGAAGCAGGGACCTAATGCTGTTCCTGCTTTCTCTCTCTTCCTCATGCGAGGACTGGCAAACCACAGAGAAGAGAGCTGCAAGATGTGAAGGGAAGAGAGGACGCAAAACTAAAACAATCCTGAGTGTGTTCCAGCATAATCACCATTTATGTTCTCCAGGATTTCTAGGCAAGCACATGTGGAATCAGCACTCGGTTCTAGTACCACAATGCCAGAAATATGGAACCACGAAGGCCTAGTAAGTCTTATCTGAACGACTAACAAAGCATCAACCAGCCTAGTTGTAGGGAGGGGCACAGAACAGTACTTTTCACCAACCAAAGCTCTCCTATAGCACTTGACAACCAGCATCACATTCACAACTTTTAAAAAGGCAGTATTGAATTTTTACAGGTTTTTAATGGCACAGCTTAAGTCCACTCCTCCCTACAGAGCGCTGCACTGCAATCTCAGATAAAAGACTCCATCTCATGTAGTGACAGAAGAAAGAATGACTAAACCTGATGAAGCATTACTCAAATACAATGCAAACATTTTCCTAGTTATCTTGAACTTGCCTTACGGGCAAGCTTAGGAAGTGTGGGTTAGATGAATGGACAGTGGGATGGATTGAACAGTGGCTGGCAGATAGAGCTCAGAGGGTTGTGGTTACTGGTGCAGAGTCTCGTTGGAGGTCAGTAACAAGTGGTGTCCCTCAGGGGTCAGTGCTGGGTCCAGTCCTATTCAGTATATTCATCAATGACCTGGATGAAGGGATAGAGTGTACCATCAGCAAGTTTGCTGATGACACAAAACTGGGAGGGGTGGCCGACATGCCAGAAGGCTGTGCCCCCATACAGCGTGACCTGGGCAGGCTGGAGAATAGGGCGGAGAGAAACCTTATCAAGTTCAGCAAGGGCAAGTATAGGGTACTGCATGGGGGGAGGAATAACCTCATGCATCAGTACACATAAGGAGCTGACCTGCTGGAGAGCAGCTCTGTGGAAAGGGACCTGGGAGTCCTGGTGGACAACAGGATGACCATAAGCCAGCAACGTGCCCTGGTGGCTAAGGCAGCCAACAGCATCCTGGGGTGCATCCAGCAGGTCGAGGGAGGTCATCCTCCCCCTCTACTCTGCCCTGGTGAGGCCGCATCTGGAGTACTGTGTCCAGTTCTGGGCCCCCTGGCTCAAGAAGGATAGGGAACTGCTGGAGAAGGTCTAGCAAAGAGCTACAAAGATAATTAGGGGATTGGAGCATCTCTCCTATGAGGAAAGGCTAAGACACTTGGGTCTTTTTAGTTTGGAGAAAAGACAACTGAGGGGGGATCTTATCAATACTTATAAATACTGAAAGGGAGGGTGCCAGGTAGATGGGAACAGTCTTTTTTTCAGTGGTGCACAGAGCACAGGACAAGAGGTGACAGGCACAAGCTTGAACACAGGAAGTTCCATCTAAACACGAGGAGGAACTTTTTTACTTTGAGGGTGGCAGAGCACAGGCACAGGCTGCCCAGAGAGGTTGTGGAGTCTCCCACTCTGGACACATTCAAAAGCCACCGGGACACCATCCTGTGCAACCTGTTGTCAGTGACCCTGCTCTGGCAGGGGGGTTGGACTAGATGGTCTCCAGAGGTCCCTTCCAATCCTGACTATTCTGTGATTGTCTGAATGTTGCTATGTCAGTATTTTAAATGGGTTTGGCTTAACCAGTCAGTTGAAAATAGACTAGCAAAGCAACTCAATTGCTTAGCCCAGAAGTCCTGATAATTTCCTGCATCTTCTACAATATCACAAAAATTCAATTAACATATTACATTAGTATCACTGCCAATTGATCTAGGTGTATTGGCCAGAAGCATGGCTCCAGAATAAAACAATTATGCTGTCAGAAGTCACTGAAACAGATGCAGTTTGACTAGAAAACAGAACCTGAGCTTTGAGGTCTTGTTTTACTGTACTGAGAGTCAGTATATTAGCTTCATTTATTAGGAAAGCTTCATCCGTACCCTTCATTTGTACACACTGTGTCTAGCACACACATGATCCTGATCACTCAATCCCCTTCACAGGAACCTTTCAACAGTGCAACACCTTCTAACAAAACATTAGCTCATCCCAAAGGGCAAATCACAGAATCATTATAGAATCACAGAATGGCTTAGGTTGGAAGGGACCTTCAAGATCATCTAGTTCAACCCCCCTGCCATGGGCAGGGACGCCTTCCACTGGACCAGGATGCTCAACGCAAGGTACAAAATTTTATTGCTGTCCCCCCAAAAGTCTTGTAAGCATTAACTGTAACTGCAATAAGCTTTTTACCCATCTACTTCCCCTGGTTTCTCCTTCATTTGTTCTTGCATCTCTTGAGATCAATCTCTAACTTTTACATAATACTATTCATATTTTCAGGTCTCCTCTGCAAGAAATAGCATCAGCCTATAAAGTGGCTATCAAACTATTTAATCTGTTTTCCGACACACTGGTATAGAGGCTTCTTCTATTAGTAATGCACACAGTATTTAGATGAGGACATCACTGGTTCTCTAGGTTATTCCATAATTCATTTTCTGTTGTAACTTCCTGACTACAGCTCCACACCATGTCTATGTTGTCACAGACAGTTTAGTGAAGACCACAGTCTCTTTTCTGTAGTGGATACAGTTACAAAGTTTCTAATATGAACAAGTACTTCTACTTTCCACAGAAGTCTCCATGGAATCCAGATGCAGTTCCACTGAAGCTGGTTAAATACTTCAGATTCCTCAAGGTTCTCTTTGCTCTTGACAAATTCACACAATGTGTTCAAAAACAGAGCCAGTAAGTTACATGCAGAGTACAGATACATTTGAGCTAGCATGGCAAACAAAGGATAGCATCTCTGGTTTGCCTAAAACCATACCAGTAAGGAAGGAGAAATCAACTCTTGCTGCACTACAAGGTTGGATTGGAGTTGCTAACCAACATCAATTAAGAGTTCTTGAAACCTAGAAGGTCACCATGTCAAAAGTCACCTCAACAAATTAAACGTTTCTCCCCCCAGGTAAATACAGGATTGATGATGTGGGCAGCTGAGCTCTGGAAAAACTTTTCACCTCTGCAGCCTAGTAGATCTTCAAGCATAGCAGGCCTGGGTACACTGAAAGCTTTTCCTTCAGGTGTGCAGCAGGAGTTGCCTGCAGCTAAGTAAATATCCTTTCAGCAAACACAGCCTGAGAGTGCCATACCATGAGCAACTCAAACTTTTTTCAAATATCCTTCAGGACAGTTAGCCAGAAACAATTCCTCAAGTAGGGAGGCACAGTCACTAATGCACCTGCTAATGGGACCATACAGAACAGCATACACATATTGCTATGGCTCACAGACATTGCTACTTTTCTTCCCCCTTTACACACATGGGAATGGAAGCAGAAAGAGGCGGCCTTGTTAAAGGAAAAGGATATTAGAAAGAAGTATCTTTCTAGATGCAGTAGACATGCAGTTTCAACATGAAGAATGTGTTAAGTGAAAAATCTCCAAGTGAAAAAAATCTCTAAAAGGAAATACCAATAGCTTCAGATGAGGATGCACTCTACTCTCAATTGATCTATCAAAGCAAGGACACAGGAGATAACAAGAATATCTGGGCAAGTTTGAGCAGTTTCACTGACCTACTCTAGGGCAACTTCAGGGACAGTCCCTGCACACAGCTTTGCAGTCACTGCAAAGTCTTCCTTAAAGTGGAGCTTTGACTTGTTCAGGCAACTAATAGGTGAGATTATACAGGACACACTTGAGAGCGCTGCAGAAGCTGGCCAGCATCATCTTTGAAAGGAAACAGCAATCATGGAATTTACCTCATTACCTGTTAAGAGCGGCATGCTAAGGGAATGGTACTATAAGGTCTTCATCATCCTTGAATGAAACAGAATTTACTCTTAATTTTAACAGATGATACCAAATCCAGAAGAGGAGTCAATGCACTGATGGGCAGGCCTGACATTCAGAGGATACTCAAAAAGCTAAGAGAAGTACTGACAAACCTTGTAAGCAATGGGAAACAATGAATCCCAGGTTAATCTCCTTTTGTAAATTATCATTTCCAAGTTTTGAAGGCTGTAATTCTTCAAGACAATGATCCCAGAGAAAGAGCAGTATGGTTTTGGTTATGAAATAACAGGTTACTTCATAAGACAGACACCAGTCACACAACAGCTAAGTCACACAACAGCTACCCACACCAAAACAATCTGGGGACTCAGATGTAAGCAAGCCAAAGGAAGACAGTGCGATAACACAATTTGTTCCCCCTGTGTACATCTTCAAGCAACAGGATCCAAACGTGCCATAGTGTCACATGCAAACCAGGTTTTTAGTGTTTGCATTAGACATCAAATAGAACATGCACAGCATGAGTACCCTGAAACTGAGTGTTCCTTATGTCCAAGATGGGTCTCACATTATCACTCTTCAGGCAGAAAGAAACAGCATCTTTCCATACTCAGTAGTACACAGGGTTGTCTAAGCCTTGCTATGTCTGCTTATTAAAAATCTCAAGCAGCTCCAACACAACACTAATACCACTGACTAAAGCATTCACTCCCAATAAAGACAGTTGAGGGAGATTTTAATCTCAGGACAGCAAAAGGAAACAGAATCAATACTGGAATGTAGCTGGTTGATAAGCTAAGAGATAAGACTAGAAACATCAAAACGCTGAATGTAACCAAGTATCCTAGTTCTTTGCCACTTAGCATGTAAGCTGAAGCTACAAACTTTATTGCCATAAAAACAAAGGCATACTCAGTAATAAGCATTCATCAGTTACCAGCACCAACTTCTAGCAGTCTCAAAGGGACTCAGAAACAACATTTTTCATGTATTTAAGGCTCAGTGGTGTCCAGCAGGATTAAAGAAAAGACCTCATAATAGCTAGTATCAACAGCTAGGCTTTAAGGAAGGATTTGACAACACTCAGTTTGTCCCCAAGCTGTCAAGTCTGTAGAATAAGATGAGAAGAGAGTCGTATTGCTTGGGTAGAGACTTCCACCAGGGCTCTCATATTATTACAATCATACATATATCATTCATACATTCCTGCAAGTGATGATCACAGACTGAACTATGGAAGAAAAGATAATCAAGGCTGGAGTACATTCCAGTTGGTTGGATTGTTCCAGAAACCAATTTAGCACAGGCACGACGTGGATAGGAGTAGTAACTGCTAGAACTACAGCCATGTACCTCACACTTATTCTTTGCAAAAACTTGCAGGGAGCTGCTTAGGAACAGTTGCAGATGTTATGAAAGAGTTGTGCATAGCTAGTTTAAAGAAAAAATGCATTATCTTTACACTGTACTGCTGTAGCAGAGGCCCACGAAGGGATGATACGTGGAGGTTTCAACTAGTTGGTCAAACTACTCCCATGCCATACAAAAGTGATGACCTTCTAAACAAATCTGGTTTTCCAAGTAACCCTTCCACATTATGGTTACACTACTTAGGGTAATATAAATATTTCCCCTTGCTTCAGGTAAAGGGCACAGTGAACCACTTAGGTGTCTCACTCCTTTGCGTTTACTCTTCAAATAAACAGATACCTTAACACCCAAAGAGATGCTCTGAACACAATTCTAGAAAGACATGCCAAGGAGGGGCCTACAGGACACCAAATAATAGAAAATATCAGTATCAACATCAATGATGTGGTAGAGGAAGCTAGAATGTTACTGCAGAACACTCACAACTTTGTTAAGCATTGACAGTCTACTACATGCCAGTGCTGAACCTGTAGTTCCCTCATGAAAAGATTGGAAGACTGCTGAGGATGCAGGATTACCACCACTAAAGAAATTAAACTTACACTTCGAGGAGGTCCACGGCGTCGGCCATAATAGCCACGTCGATAGCGGCGCCGGTCTGCAGCATAGCGGCTGCCTTCTACAGGGACTCCATCTGGACCAGTGACATTAGCTGCTTCTGCACCCTAGAAGGCCAAAGGAAAGTAAGCCAAGGTGGTGCAAGAAAAGAACAACCAGGTACAGGGAGAAGATAAAACAGGGAAGAGGCTTGTTTGCATCAGTTCCAAGCTACAGAGATTCCTTCCTCCTAAGCAGTGCAAAAGCAGGTCTGTTATTCTCAACCCCATAGCAGTTAGGGGTTGACTCATGACCGTATCAGCCAGGCTGAGTTCAGAGGAAAAAGGAAAGTAGTACCTGATTAAAGACAAAATAGAAAAACAAAAGCAAAAAAGCTCGGAAAACTCAGAAAATGTTTGAGAAAGTGCAAAGAACTCAAAAGTTCTTACAGTTATTAAGCTACCAGACTCCAAGACAAATTCTTCAGGGCAATATATGCATCAGTTAATGTTTAAGGGGCAGACCACAAGCTTCAAATGCTCCAGCAAGTAAAAATTACAAATTCTAGAAGCACTAGGATGTAGCTAGAATTTTGACACATATCTAGAAACATTCTTAATGAAGCCTTTAAAAAGCACATCGTCCACAGAAAAGCTGTATGAATGCCACCCACTGCAGGGATTAACACATTAGACAAAACCACCAGACACAGCCAAGGCTGTGTTACTCCCCAGTGGAGTGATGTTAACTCTGTTGGGCCATACCCCAAGTCTCTATAATTTCTCACCTTCTCTCCTTCAACCACATCAAATTCTACAGTCTCTCCATCACCAACACTGCGCAGATATTTCCGTGGGTTGTTTTTCTTTATTGCCGTCTTTAAAGAAAAAAAGATACAGAAAAATATGTTAATTTATCTTATTCATTATCATACACATTCATAGCCCTGTAGATGAGGGAAGGACAGTATTCTGTTACAATTCCAACTCTACATACCAGATCAGTCACCACACAAAGATACTTCAAACACATAGATGCCTCTCCTATTCCACAGGCCCTCCAATAGAGCCAGGTTTTTACTCCTTTCTCAGTCCTCATAAGCTTACAAGTCAGCTGTTGATCCTACTAAATATCCAGACCATTACATATTTCTGTATGACCTGAGTTCACACTGAGCATTTGATCTCCTGCAAGCTGTACAAAGGCAGCTCCAGCAGCAACTGTGACCCATGCCTTCACAGTCATTAGGAGACCTGTAAGCCATCTACAGAGAAGTTAAGACCAGGAGCAATTTTGCAGAAGATGGCATTAACTATAAGGTATCATGGCAACTCAAAGTAACTAGAGAAGAATCGCTAGAACTCTGGTGTAACATACATAAGCATTTTACCTAAGCACTGTAAGGAAGACCCCCAAAAATTAGGCGAGTCCCTAAGGAATACAGGAATCGTACCAGAACAGACAATCTCAGTCTTAGTCATCCTTTGTAAACAGAAACCCCAAAATACTGTTAACAATGTGGCTTTGGATCAAAACCAGTTGAAAACTTCCTCAGACTCACAGGAGCACTCAAACCTCCTGGAGTCACTCCTCAGCCTGTCAAGTATAGATACCTTTCGCTCCGTGGAATATTTCTAGAATTCCACAAAAGGCATTTAGAATCATAAAATCTTAGAATTGTCCAGGTTGGAAGAGACCCTTGGGATCACCGAGTCCAACCATCTACCCTACTCTACAAAGTTCTCCCCTACACCATATCCCCCAACACCACATCTAAATGGCTCTTAAACACATCCAGGGATGGTGACTCAACCACCTCCCTGGGCAGCCTATTCCAATGCCCGACCACTCTTTCTGTGAAAAATTCTTTCCTAATGTTCAGTCTAAGTCTACCCTGTTGGAGCTTGAAGCCATTCCCTCTCATTCTGTCATCAATTACCTGTGAGAAAAGACCAGCACCAACCTCTCTACAGTGTCCTTTCAAATAGTTGTAGAGAGTGATGAGGTCTCCCCTCAGCCACCTCCTCCTCCTCAAATTAAACAGTCCCAGCTCCTTCAAACGCTCTTCATATGAGCAGTTTGTTTACTAGGCCCTTCACCAGCTTCATTGCCCTCCTCTGCACTCGCTCCAGCGCCTTGATATCTCTCTTGTATTGAGGTCCCTAAAACTGGACACAATACTCGAGGTGTGGCCTCACCAGTGCTGAGTACAGTGGCACTTCAGCAAGACAAGCCTACTGTCTATTCGTGTGGTAAGGGTTCACAAACTGGAAGAGGCCAGGGGAGAAAAAGAATACAACCACCAAGACACATACATTGTACAAGCCAGTCTAGGAGCCAGGTTTTTACTGAAGTTCTCTTAGATTAAGACCAGTCCCCTTAAAGTTTTCTCATAGGGGCATCTATTGTTAGCATAAAGGAGGCAGGTGTAGATCCAGCAGACACAAGCACACATGGAAATACAGGGCACAAATCTGGTTTAAGAAATGGGATGCAGGGCAGAAACAGAAGACACAGTTGTCCTATCCGTCTGCAGTTCAAGGAAAACAAGCAGAATGAAGATCAGTTGAGTTGTTGCCCACGTGTGGCAACTACAGTCATTCAGTCAACAATAGTCAAAAAATATTTCCCACTGAAGGAAAAGTTCTAATCAGTTTAAAGTTGAGCTTGACCAGTTTAGGGAAAGTATTCTCATTGTTGCTGAATACAGTCCCTCTGTGTTTCAGGCAATAGGCCAGCATGTTCTTTTAGCCCTACATCTAGCCACACCTTTCCCTGTACCCTGCAGTGTCCCTGAACAGCTTAAGGAAGAATGCAAGAGTGTACATATTATTGCTATCAAAACAAAAACAACCCAAGAGCAGGTTTTTTTGATACAGGAAGAGAATGAGCTACTCAAGTGAATTCTTTTGGGAATTACTTTACAAACCAGAGACTCCCACTACCAACTGAGACAGCTCTGTTTGCTTTCTGCTGACCTATTAGTCTAATTGCCCCACTTCTAAAATCAGCTGGAAGGGCTAGTTTTTCCATAAATGCCATATACTAATACTAAAATCATTATCTTCACAGCAGATTAAGGGCCTAATTCTTTTACCACCACTTGTACTGAGACAACTGACTCAAACTCTTAAGACTTGTGCTCTGCATACGACAGAAATGTCAACAAGCTGTATTTCAAACTCCTTCCCCTTCCTTGTAAGTGCAGAGGAAGAAAGGACTACCAGACTTCTTTTCAGCAGAAGATGTACTTAAGATTAATCAAGCTTCTCAAACATCCTCCAAGAAGGGGAATGGAAGATAAATTCAGTAAGATTCTGCATGTTCTGTTCCAGCTTTAGGGACAAATTTCCAAATCCAGATTTGCAATTGAATAACCTGCCAATAGCAGACAGAGGCTGCCACACACAGTAAGATGGAGTTTGTTTTATAAAGACAAACAGGAACAATTTTGAGTAAGTCGTAGAATTCAGAGCAGAAACTATACAGCTTCACTACTTACTACTTCAGCTGCAGGTAAAAAATTGCTGAAATAAGCCTCTAACAAGCCTAAGCTTTAAGCTTGATGAAAATACTTTTACTCTGTATATCCAGATGGGAGAGAGCACTATTCTCCTTGTTACTGTTTTCCAGCATCCTGCAGGCTCCAGCTTCTTTGATTCAAAAGACAGATGTTTTGTGTTAGCACAGGCAGCACTCAACAATTAAGACAGAGCCTTTCCTTTCCCAAGGGGACACTAATGAACAGACAGCTATAAGAGTCTTCAGAGCTAGTTCAGTATTTTGTTTGGAAGAGTTCTTTCCATATCCTCATGATATCACCACATCACATGCACATCCAGCGTTGTCACAGCAATAGCCAAAATTTGTTAGACCAGTTACTGGTGCACATAGACAAGGCTGTACCCAGTGAATACAATCCAGTGAAGACAAAGAAAGACCTGTGCAGCAAAAGAGCTTAACTCCTCGCTGCTTGTTGATTTAGATTATGCCTAATTTAACTGGACTGCTCTGGCTACTGACATTTTTAATGGTGTTAAATCGCAAGACCCTCCTTCCTCCCAGACATGCTCCACCCCACCCCAGCAGGCAGTCCTATCCCTATTGCTCGCACCACCTCTGACTGACCCAGTGCCCTAGATACCACCTTGCATGAACCAACCCGACAAGGATGGATGCAAGTAAGACGAAGCACATGAAGCATTGCCCTTCCCCAAAACACCGCTTGGGTCCCCTGCAAGACAAAGGGTTAATTCAAAGCAAGCCATGCATGCCCTAAAGAGAAAAGCATTTTAATCTGTACTAGGTTTATAAATAGCATCCAATAGCGAGACACCCAGTGTTAACCCCCATTCCAATCATGAGATCGGCCTGTTCCCTCCCCGCTGCCGATGCGTGCTGGGGAGGCAGGGAGGAGGCTGTATCCATTCAACTAGGTCAGCCTTATTCTGAAGGGATTAGGCATGTAATCCAGCCCCTCCCGGGACGGGTGCAGGGAGGAGGGGCAGGAACGGTGGAGAGGGAGCTCGCAGCAGGATGTTTGCTTACGCCATGGATTTGCCTCCCTGGCCGGGCGGGCCCCATCCGCTGGCCCTGCCAAGCCAAGCGCACAGGCAGGAGCTCTGGCCAGAAAGCCCCGGACTCTGGTAGCAAACACGTTCACTTACAGGAAGAGCTCGAGATGGAAGAGCTGAGGAACATCCAACTGCAGCCAACTCAGGCCAGAGCTGGAAGCATCTACTCTGCCACACACAGCCCACCAACAGGGTTAATCGGATGCAACCTTGCACGTGATGTGGCGTTTCTGAAACATCAAGCCAGTTTTGCTCAGTGCGCACTACGAGAGGATTTCAGCCACGAGAGATAAGAAATAAGTTACACACACCAGTTTACATTTAGGTGAATAATCTCCACAGGTGAAGGAGACAAAACACCACAGATAACGCTAGCTTGCTGCTGGCCTTCACTGTTTGGATCTCCGCAGGCAGCCTTCCCAAGCAGAATAACAACGAATACATCTTATCTCTGTCATCAGCACAACTGTTTTCCAGGATATCTTCTCACAGGTTTCAGGGAGACCTCGCAGTTTTAAAGTGCTGCCTATCCAGAACATGTTTCTGCTACTAGAACTCTTTCCACCTTGCCCAGACATGTTCCCATCAGGCCACAGATGCAGCATCTGTATCAGCATGCACAGAACACACAATCCTGAAGGAAGGAGGGTGACCATTAGAAATTGGTACATGCATTGAGAACTCTTGCTCCCAGTCCACCAACTGAACTGGGAACAGGTACTGCACGCACTTCCTGAGATCTTCACTTATTACAGGCTTACTCCCTCCCAGCTTCATCCACCTTAGGGATAACGGCTCTACACCCCTTAACCTAGAGAAACAGTTATCACAGGCTATTTAGTCACAAAGCCACAAAAACTAAACCAACTCTGGATGTTGACAAGCATGTTTAACACAACTATATGCACATATCTTAGTCGTCTGTGACCAACTCCAAGTGCAAGGTTCCTGGTTACATTTGATGGAAATACTGCCACATACACCACAGAGAAAGCTCATGCTTTTAAGAATCACATGGGCCTGCAGACGCTTCATATGGGACAGGCTCCAGGGGCAATATTCCATCTTCTGGTGAAGTAAGAGTCTCAGATGATGCAAAAAAAAGATCTAAGCCAACTAACCAGTTTATATCAGCACAGAGACAGCATCCTCTGTCTTCCCATTAGTTGCTTGTGACCTGAGAGTCACAGTATAAACTTAGAACAGCCTACTGACAGTTCAAGGAAACTGTCAATAACAAGCCGCTGGGCAACCTCTCTCCACTTGGGCACATTTGGCACACAGCCTTCCTCCTCTTCTTCCTAACAGCAGCTGCCTCATGCAGCAACAGCTGATGGCAACCCAGGCTGGTCAAGAGCCAGACTAGATCACTTTCTCGCCAATACCAGGGAGGGCAAATAAAACAGACCTGCAAATGAAGAGGAGAGGAAGAAACAGAAGACAGGAGGAGCACGAGGAAATATTGGGGAAAGGACAGACAAGTAGCGAGGTATTTACAAATCAGGAGTCATCTCCTCAGGGAAGGGACAACCACACCAAAAACACCCTCAAAAACCTTTAGTGTGCAAATCAGAGCAGACAACAGAAAGCAAAGGGTTATAATACTACTTCTTCAGTTATAACTCCAGAGAGAAGGAAAATATACCCTAATACTCCTCCCTGAAAATTTCAATGTACCTGTCCATTCAAGGTATTTATGGTAATCATTCTAAAAAGCCAGGACAAGGTTGGGTGGCTGTTTCAGGAAGTTGCATTAGAAACCTATCATAGCGGCCAACTCTAAGTACAATTACCGCTGTCTTACCTGATGAACAAACACATCTTCTTTGGTATCATTTCTGTGAAAAGAAAGTGAGAAGTTGTAAGAGTCTAGACTAAGAGACTTAAATAGAAGTCTCCAACTTCACGAGTGAAGCCCTCCTTCCCCCAGCCTGCAGTACCTCCCCTGGATTCCATACATTCTGTGTAAGTCTACGGTACGAAGACCCTGCTCTGAATTTCCAGGGTCATGTGCTCGACAGCAGAAAAGACTCCCCACCCTTCAGAAGGGTGAGGGGATGGGGGCGAGGTTGTCCGTAATCTTCTGGCAAACATTCAATATTTTGTTTTGACACAGAGCAGAATTAATGACTAGACTGCTTGCCTTTCACTATTCCACCCCCCAAAAAAAAATCTTCCACAAGGGCTGCAACTTGAGCTGTTATCTCAGAGGTCAAGCAAGACCATCAACAGGACTGGCCACAGCTGTTAACAGAGCTCTCCTTTCAGTGAAACTCAAAGCAACCATGCACAAGGTGTTAGGAAAGTCCATTGCAGGGGGACCTAGACATGAACATGAGGATGCCTGGATTAGGCCAGCCAGATCAGGCTTCTGCATGCAAAACATGAAGACAGGTCTGAGACCTTGATTTTGTGTTCCCATACAACAGACAGAGCCTAGACCCTGCTGTCTGTGCACTCAACTCCTTCTCTGCAGAGGGAACAGATGGGTCAAAGAGTCTGTAAAGATAATGCATAATCCAAAACTTGTTGCGCTGGATGGAAGTAATGCTACACTCCAGTTTAGGAAGAAAGCTAACAAGTTATTACACCATATCCAGCTGCATGCTCTCACATCAACTGCTGTGAGAGACTATAAGAGTACTGGCTAATTCAAGCTTTTCTCCCAAGCTTACATAACACTGGGTACTAGTGTCCAGAGACTGGGATTAATACTGTACAAGGCTGCCTTCAGATCCATGAAACGGGGCTCTTCTACCCCCATCTACATTATCCAACTCACCCAAATCTACCTGCTTTGTAACAGTTCAAGGACTTGCAGGACAAAATAACTTGCCAGATGTCTTTTGCAAGAGAAGGATTCACCATGCAGGAGCCTTTTTTTTCCTCTCCCCATAAAGCACACAAGACATTTAAGCCCCTCAACCCCACCGATATTCCAGCCTTAAAAGCCAGTTTTCTCCAGTAACTTGTAAGTGTGGGTCTTGTACGCTTAGGGTTGAAGCGTGATCAGTATCACTTACAGCTATTTGGATTATCAGTGCCATTCAGAAGTTTGTTCATGTTCAGAGGAGAAGAAAAAAGATACAAAAAGAATTTCTGTGAACCCAGGCCTGGGATATCTTGAGTTAAATGATATCAGAGAATCTCAATGTGCATTTGGAGTAGGTATTTTGACCAATCAGTTAACACTTGAATTTTTACCCAAAAGTATTTCCCCTAACCCTCCAACCTTACTTGCACCTTTAAAAAAAGCCAGGCAGTCACAAAAGAACATACAGCTTATTAAAGGTGTAGTACCAGTAAACATGAGAAACAAGTAACAAATTTGTAATGAGTTTGACCCTTTCTGTTTTCTCCCCATACACATAACCTTCAATGGAGGGGAGGAGGGAGGGAGAGTCCCCTGAGATGATACCCGAGTTTGTTGAATGCCTGGCCAAATCTAGCTATCAACTGAACGAACTTGTAGCGAGGTCCTTGGGCCTCTGCTGCAATTATTAATGCATGACATATTACCTGTACTATGAGTCTTAGTACAGTAAATATGACTATCATAATTTAAACATACCTGTTGATAAAGCCATATCCATTTCTGACATTGAACCACTTGACTGTGCCAAGAACTTTGGTGGCTGGAAAGAAAAAGTTAAAGAAGTTATTCTGACACACAACAAAGTACAGAACGTTACAAAAAAATACTTTTATACCTCCACATGAAGTCACAACCAGACCTGATCTGCTCCCTTAACACTCAAAGTGTACCTTCACCTCCTACTTCAATTCACACTAATGAAGTAGCAGGAAGCAGTGCTTTCACTTGCTGTTCTTCAGCCAAGAGTTTACCACACAGCATCTAGAATGAAGACCAGCTCTATTTTCAGAATTGGCCATCCATCCCTTCTCTTTTTTACTTCTTATCCCAGAACTGGGCAGTGAAGCTGAAAACCTCACTACCATTCATCAGTTCTCTTTAGCTGAGCAGCTAGATATGAAACATAGCTGAAGAAAGCTGTTTAAAACTCCTCTCAGAGTTACCCTTCCTTTCTTCCCTAGCAAGGAGAACTGGCCAAAGCACCAGCATCAAGCACCATGCAACTCTCTCAAGTAGAGAGGCAGCACATCCTTATTTTGGACAAGCTTTCTTGCATTGTCTCTAGCCAAACCAGACCCTAAAAGATGGGGTGTATTTTTATATATTCTTACTTCTAGAGATCAAATTTCCCAGTTACAAACAGACCAACTTTATGTTCCAAGGCTTCTAGGATCAAGACAAGCTCCTGTCTCAACACCAAAACAGCATCTTATTTAGAAGCCATACTGCAGTGTCTTATAGGATCTGGCAAAACCTGTTCCTCCAACATATAGGTACGTGTGGGAGGAACTCAACAGCAACGGAGGTAGTTCAACCTCTCCTTCCCTCTCAGCAACTGGGTGGAGGCCACAAATTTGTACTTTTCAGACCTGTAGAAAAGGGAGAATTTGGAGCTCTAGATTTTTATAGATATTACATAGCATGATCACAACTATCTAAGCAATCTACGTAGTACTTATTTGAAAAGGGCCTAGTCACCTACAGAGGACTGCTTGTTAAAGACCTTACATATGTGAGGGGGGTGGGAGGAAACCAAGAGGCAATTAAAAAGAAAATCGTCTAGAGAGAATCTCCAGAAGTCCAAGCCAGTCTGCTAGAGGCATGAACACACTGCAAATCATCACCTTCATCTGCTCTACACCTGCATTCTTCCTTAAATATCCACTAGATGACAGAGCTAGACAGACCTTTGGTCTCACACAGTCTTGCCATTCTTATATGCCCCTCTGACAGACAAAAAGAGCAACCTCTCCCTCCTCCCCCAAATAGATAGCTAAAGTAAGAACGTTTGCTGATAACAGTCCATTGTAGTACAGTTGCTGCTGCTAAAAGTAATAACAGGCCATTTCTCATTGCACCTGTAGAAGTGAAGGTTTTAGTTGTCTTTAACACAATTTTAGCAGAAAATGTTCTTATATAGAAGAAGCAAAACCACATTAAGACTGAGATGGTGATTAAAGGGCTCTACCTATTACAGCATCCATACCCAAGACTTCTTGTTTACAGAGTTAAAGACCCGAAGTTTCACTGCCTAGCACTGATTCAGTAACAATAACAGTCTTCCGCATCAACATTTACAGTAGTGCTTTTAGGTTTAGTTTCACGGGGACACCACTATACACAGACACTTATCCCCTACCACAAAGGCACCAGCTACATGCAAGAGCTCACTGCACTAAGATACACCAACAGGGGAAGAAGCTGGGGGGGTGGGGGAGGAGGATGTGTGGAAGCACAGTAACAGGTGCCAATGGCACATGCAGGTTTTAGCCTGCTTAAAAAACAAGGCTAATACCACTGATTCCTCCACCATCATCCTTTCCCTCCCCCACAAAACAGCTATTGAATCTGTTGGCCTATTTCAATCAGATTAGGAAGAGGGTGAGAAACCTAGGGAAGCCTGAGGGAAACCCTCAGAGGAGTCAGAAAGCTGGCAGAAGGAGCGATTGTCAGGACTCACTCTACATGGCCAACTGGCTGCTGATAAATGGAAGTCCACACACAGAGCTTAAGAGCAACATTGCTCCTTTTGCACAGGCTGCAAGAAACCAGGGGCAAGTCTCCAATATATTCCCCAAAACAGTGTACTGGGGAAATACCATTCCCCACCCACATTAGTCTTACAGTCTCCCCTAAGCAACACTGTGTGGGGAAGATCATCAGACACAATAGCATGACAGTGAACATCCACGTGGCCATGATGTATCTATTGTTAAGCCTGAGCTGTCATAGCAGGGAGATGAGGCAAGGAGGAGAACAAGTCCAGAGAAAGCCATAACCAGTTTTACTGAAGAGTCAGAGAAGGTAGTTGGTACGATCACACCTTTCTCACCAGCAAGTGAAAGCCTGCATATTTCTACAAGGAGCTGTCCTCTGATGCTATCAGAGGAAACAATCATCAGCCACTCCTACCCATGCCAAAATAGCCTTTTTATTACTTTTAACAAGGAAATCCAAAGCTTCTGGTGACCAAGAGAAAAGAGAAAGTTGACTAACCTTCATCCTTATTCCTAGAAGTCAGACATTTGGATGCCCTGGGCAAGCATCAGACCTTGCTCCTAATGGGATCTTTGTAAGAGGAGACTTAAGTGAACATAATTACAAGACCATTAACAGGGACATTTGAGGTGGCTTTAACAGAAGTCCATTTTCAATTAGCATTAGCATTATCAATGATCATTTTCCTCAAAACTCCTGCGAAAAAGCTTGCCTGGCAATAAGGCCAGTGTGAAAAACCATCACCATGGTTTTCTTTTTCCTGCTAGACCAGGAAAGGCACTTGTGCCTTCACACACACACACACCCCCCAAGCAACAGCAATAGGTGAACAAGATAAAAACATTACCAAGAACGAAACAAGCCATGTTAAGGCAAGAAGCAGACAGACACACCAAGAGATACAGATGTGTCCTGACTGATTACTGGCAGATCAGATAACAGAACGGGGAAGGGGGGGAGAGGGGGGGGAAGAATCATACAAACAGTGCCTCCAATTTGTGTTTTGCCAATTTGTGTTTTGCTAGAACCCTTCCTGCCTCAGCTCCAGAGAAATCCTCTACCTGGCTCCTCTAGTTGCTGCAGTACGACCCGAGACTTTCCCTTCCAACAAGAAGGCGCTGTCTTCCCCTAGTGAAGCTGGGGACTCCGCACTAGCGGTCAGCCTCAGCTTGCCCTGCCTTACGAATCTCTTAAAAGTTAGGCGGCTATAAACGGCAGGTCCCTATTTCCACCTTTTCAACAGGTTGGTGCTGCTCAATCGCGGTCAAGGAACGCTAGCTACGCGCCGGGCTCCAGCGGCGAAATGGCAGCTTGGCATTTCGCTCGCATCTTTATCGATAAAGTAGAAACTAGCAAAAAAAAAAAAAAAAAAAAAAAAAAAAAAAAAACCACCCCACACAACAAATCCTG